AGGACCGTTCTTTTCGGCATCTGGTCTGAGCTTGTAAGAAGCAGCTGTCTCCCTTCACGGCTTTAGAAAAGTCTGGAAGCAGGAAATGAGAAAGACACCTAAGAAACCATGGAGCCGACGTTTAAAGTCCACCTCAAACTAAGTTGGAAAGACACATCCGGGGGAAGTGGCTCCAGCAGGATTCTAACTTCAAAGGAGGCTCTTGTGGCAGATAATTTGGAGAAACCTTGCTCTGAAGGAGACACAGTACATTTGCTGCTTGCTAGCTGGTGAGTTTTGGCAGCTTTTCTCACTGAACTCTGATTTCTTCATCCATAAAGTAATAATAATGGTAGCTATAATTAAGTGCTCTTCTGAATAATAAATGTGTTAATATATGTGAGGTGCCGAGTGCAAGGAGAAAAACACATTAAGTTGTTATAGTATTGTTAATAAGATAACAATTATAAGAGCAATATCTCATTTGCTTTGCTGGGCTCCCGTTCTGTCCCGCGTTGGTGGACCCCTTTGTGGTCTCGCTCCTACTTTTGTAACTTCTGTTATTCAGACACATGATACTTGTTTTTGTCTTACCATAGGCTGCTTAGCGAGTGTTGACTGTGCTTTAAGACTGCACTCGCCTTAGTCTGTAATTCTGCTTGTTCCTCAGACTATTTAGCATTGTCGTCTGAAGTAAGAGAAACTGGTTATTTATATAAACATCGTACCCAACCAAGCCCTATCCTCACCTGCACGAATCCTTTAGAACTGTAGCATGCCACCCTTGGAAATATGACAAGTAGACCAGAGCTGGCATCTGAAGGAGGCTTGCTACTTTTGAAGTAGTCACCCTGCAAAGTCTTGCATCCCTCTTGGCACCCCCATCCTCATCCTATGCCTGCATCTAGGGAACAATAAAGCCTTGGAATATTAAAGTACTCTGTAGCAGTCTGCAACAAGACAAAACAGAAGTGATTGCCTAACACTAAGGACCTCATCTTATCTCTCTTTTGTGAGCTCCACCCCATATCTAACCTAGGAACCTTGGCTTCCTGAGTATGCAGCATTAGCTACTGTTTTCATCCATTTGTTGAATATTTTAGCACCTGCTCTGAGATGATTGATGTATTAAGTGTTGAGAAAGGACTCAAAGGTGATTAAAGTGTGAGTTATGGTATCAAGATCCCTCTGGTCTGCGAGGAAAGATAATAAATACTAAATGCTCCTAACTGTAACGGTGAGTGATGTGTCTTTGAGAGAAGACAGTGGGATCCTTTAGGGAAGACGCAAGTTCATGTCTGTAGGTCTCTGCAGCATGTGGGAGGTTCCTAATGAGAGCTGCGGGAAGAGGAGGAAATGAAGGACCTAGGAAGCTCAGCTGTCTCAGAGGGAAGAGTACGACATGCTACAAAAGGTTCTTAGATGGCTTTTTGCTCTGGTTTGCATGTCCTTCCTAAAACGGAAATGGAATTTTAGTTTTCATTGTTACACTTTTAAGAGGCAGGATCTCTGAGCGATGACTAACTCAGGAGGGCTCCGCTCTCAATGGTGACTTTGCCGCTGTTACAAAAAGATGAATTGAGCCCCTTTGGTTCCTTGGCTCTTCTGTCTTTCTGCTGTGTAAGGGACATTGTTCCTCCCCTCTGCAAGATAACACATTCAAGGCCACCACCGTCTTAGGAACAGAGAAAAGGCCTTCACCAAACTCCAACCCTGCCAAGGCAATGATCTTAGACTCCCCACCCTCTGGTCTGTGAGAATTAAATTTGTTTTTATAAAACACCCAGTCTGTAATATTCTGTCAGAGCCTCATGAAATAGATGAAGAAAAGTCTTATAGATGAAGGTAAACTAAAAGGTCAGTAGCTGGGGTTGTACCTCACCTGGTAGGTGCTTGCCTAGCATGCATGAAGCCCTAGGTTCCATCTCCAGCACCACATGAACTGGAATTATTCATATACACCTGTGATTCCAACACTCAAAAGACAGAAAAATGAGGGTCAGAAGTTCAAAATTACCCTCAACTCTAAGATCTTGCCTCAAAAAAAAAAAAAAAACACACACTGGGGAGGATTTCAATAGACTGAAATGTGAGTAAATAAATTCTCAGTTCACGGAACAAAGGCAAAGAGGAGCTGTTTATGTGTCGTCTACAACAGCATTGACCACATGATGGGAAGCTAGGACATTCACCAAGGAACAACAGAAGGAGCTGGAGAGAACGTTTTAGGCCATTTAACTGAACCTCATAGATGGTGACCCACTTACGGCCAAGTGCAGTCACCAGGGCACTACTGAAAAACACCTGCACTTTACCATTCACCACAGAAAGGCTAGATTTCACTTGCAATGGAGACCACCTCACCCAGAACAGCTCTTTCTGTAAGTTAGGCCACAAGTTCATAAAGAGCCTATATAGACACTATATATAGTATGTGAACCTGTAGTCTCAAATTGTAATCTATAGAAATAACGTTTTACAAACAGTCTTAATATCTATAGGTGAAGTTTTAACAAGCAACTGATTCAAGTGTTCAACAGTGTTTTTCTCAATGAAACCAGACCTGGAGACCAGCAGAAACGTAAAGGAAAGAGGGCCCCAAGTATAGGAGAGCACATTTGTTCCCAAGGGATGACCTCGTTACCAGGAGCATGAATCTGATATGGAAAAAGATAAAGGAACTAAGCTGGCCATCCTCACCACGGTGTTCGTGGGAAATAGTAGAGAGATGTAATAGAGAGGAAAATCTGTGAAATGGGCAGCAGAATAATTGAAGTGGCAGTGCTGGAGTGGTGGCTTGGAGCAGTGAGGGCAGGGGTTCTCAACCTTCCCAATGCTGCAACCCTTTAATACAGTTCCTCGGGTTGTGATGACCCCCAACTGTAACATCATTTTCATTGCTACTTCATAACTATAATTTTTCTACTGCTATAAATTGTAATGTAAATATCGGCGTTTTCTGATGGCTTTAGGCAACCCTGTGACTAAGAACATAGGCTGAGTTCAGTTCCCAGCAATCACATCGGGTGGTTCACAATCACCTGTAATTCCAGCTCCAAAGGATCCAATGCCCTCTTCTAGACTCCACAGGCAACTGTATTTATACATGCACACATGCACACTAAGACACATAGACACACATAATTTAAAAATAAAAATAAATCTTTAAAAAAGAAGGATTGACATGCCCTAAAGAATGAATAGACTCATATAATCCATGAAAGACATCACTTGGACACTCTAGTAAGACACCAGTATAACACCAGAGGTAACCAAATATAGGTGTTACAGTTCCCTTCCTTTTTAGTAACGGTGAAGCTTAAAATTCTGAAAATTATTCATACCCAAAGAATCCTCCAGAGAAATTAGAAAAAAATCATCTGCCTCCAGCTGGTACTTTGCTCTGTTAATGACATGTATACATGTGAACAAAGGGTTCAGTGCTCCTATTAATTACCTAGAAATGATTAATCTCCTTTTCCAGTAGGGATTTAGGCAATCAAGAGTTAGATCTCTGTGGTGCTTAGTGTTGAAAGTCACCTTGACAGAATCTAGATCCTGGGAGCTGACCCTCTAGGTATGCCTGTGGGGGATTATCTTAATTGTATTCATTGAGGGGCAAAGATCTGCCCACTGTGGGTGGCACTGTTCCCTGGGCGGGGGATCCTGGATTGTAGTGTATAAAATGAAAACTAAACAGCAGAATGAATTCATCCCACCCTGTATCCTGATTTCCTGATTGTTGAGGAGGGGTGACCAGCCGTTCCAAGCTCTTGCTGCCCCAGCTTGCCTGCCATACTGGCTATGCCTTGGAATTTGAGCTGGGCTGAGCGCTTTCTCCCTGGGGTTGCTTTTGCAGTGTGTTTTGTCATAGCGATGGAGAACGTCACTAAGGCAGCCTGATGCTTTCATGCATCATAGTAGAGAAAGATGCCCTCTCCCTCACTGTGCACATGCCCCTCCCATTCCTCTCCAGGCCCCCATTCTGTACACCAGTCCACAGCACTAGGGGGGACAAAAAACATGGAGTCACATTGGGTTTTGCTCATATCCTTGAAGTAGACATGATAGGACCCAAAATTTCTAAGCATACATCATGGTAGATAGTCACTCTTCTCTGTTACCATCAGAATGACTTTCCCTTACCACCTAACACCACACATTTCAACTAAATCAGTCACAGGATCATCAAAACGTTCAAGGCATGTTTTTTTAATGCTATTGGTTTTCCTGTGTGCTGCCTGCAGTTGGAGAATTTTTATTTCAATAGCCTCCAGCCTTGCGATCCGGCTTCCTCCTTATGACCTCTACTCTAAACTGTAATTTGGATTTTCCCGGTTTCACTTCCCTTATAAATATTCCACTAGATCCAAAATTGCTCTTGAGAATTGCCACCATGAAAAGCTTTCTGGAACATTCACTCCAAATTACTTAATGCTAAAGAGAATTTCAATGGAGTAGAATATTCAATAAGATGATTTGGTTTTGTCTGAAAATTACTTACGTGCCATTATGTTCAGCACCTGTAGTGACTCGGATGGAACTGTGAAAGTAGGAACTCAGCTTTTATAAATGGTGTGAACACAGAGGGACAGAACTATTGAGTGACATGCAGTAAGAACAGTCTGTTCGATTATGAGTATGGTGCTTTAAAATCAAATCATACCATTTCATTATAAGACTTCCTGTAGAGCCGCTAGTGTTAATGCCACGGCCTGTCTGTGGCACTCACAGAACACAGGGGGAAAGCCACTTTTCTTGTTGCTATGACAAAGGACTTGACTATAGCAGCCTAAGATGGGAAAGGTCTGTTTTGGCACAGCTCCAGAAGAGGCACTCCACCACGGCAAAGAAGGCATGGCGGCAGGAGCAGGGACAGGTGGTCACATTGTACCCGTGGTCAGGAAGCACAAAGTTAAATGCTTATTGGTTTGCTTTCTCTGTTTTCCTCAGCCTATGACCCCGGCCATGGATGGTGTTGTCCACATTCAAGGTGCGTCCCACCCCAGTTAAACATCACACACATGCCCAGAGTTGTCTTCTAGTGATTCAAATCCGGGCAAACTAACAATGAAGACTGATCATCAAGAAGGGAATGGAGGAAACTAACTATGAACAACAGCCTCATCTTTGGGAATAGGTGTGCCTGTCTTTCCCATGGTCCTGGGGTGGGGGCTGTCTGTAAGTCTGGATACAGTCAATAGGAATTACCCAAACTCAGAATGAGGAGAAGAAAGCAGAATGAAACACCAAAAGCTGAAAGGCAACAGTTTAATAAACATGTAATCCCAGAAAGAGATTCGATTTCCTTTCCTGGAGAAGAGAAAATAAGATAGAAAAATAGTCATAAAATAATACTGTAAACCAGGCAGTGGTGGTGCATGCCTTTAATCCTGGTGCTCGAGAGGTAGAGACAGGTGGATCTCCGTGAGTTCGAGGTATACAGAGTGAGTCCCAGGACAGCCAGGACTACACAGAGAAACCCTGTTTTGAAAATCCAAAATAATAATAATAATAATGGTGCAGGCCGGGCGGTGGTGGCGCACGCCTTTAATCCCAGCACTCGGGAGGCAGAGCCAGGTGGATCTCTGTGAGTTCGAGGCCAGCCTGGGCTACCGAGTGAGTCCCAGGAAAGGCGCAAAGCTACACAGAGAAACCCTGTCTCGAAAAACCAAAAAAAAAAAAAAAAAAAAATAATGGTGCAGAATATTCCAGAATTCATTATAATACCTGTTGTTTGACAAGATAAACATCAAGCAAAGCAAATCTACATACACAGTATACAAATTACTCAAACGAGCACAGAGGAAATACAGTACGGCAGCTGGTAGAAAAAGGCACATCACACAGGCAGGAACACAAATAAGAACTCTGGCAAACTTCCTGACAGGAACCACACAAGCTAGAGGACAGTGATATAACATTTTAAGGGGCTTCTGGGTAGGGGGAGACACCCACCAAATTCTATACTCCAAGAAAAAAATGTTTCAAAATATGAAGGGGAAAGTTTTCTCAGACAAAAACCAAAAGAACTTCATTGCTCACAGACGTGCACTGCAAGACTTTTCAAGGGACATTGTTCAGGCAGAATAAATGTGATACTGACAGAAATCAAATAAATAAAGGTAAATATGTAATTAGGGTTCTGTTTTCACTGTCCAGATGAAAACAGATTGCCTAAAGCAAAAGTAATATTATAAAACAGTATGTGTCAAACTAAAATGCTTGTTGATAAAGGATGGGAGGTGGGATCAGCATAGATCATTTTAAGATTTTTACACATGAAACAATATTATAGTATTTAGCAACATATCTGGGATCTAGGAAGATAGCTCAGTCCATAAAGTAGCTTGTCTTGCAAGTGGAGGACCTGAGCCGTATCCCCAGAACCATGGGAAGCCTCAGAGAAGTATGCATCTATCATCCCAGTGTTCTGGTGGCAAGAAAAGAGAAACTATGAATCCTCACAGGCTAACCAGACTGGAGTGTGCAGCAAACACAGAGACCCCAACAAAGTTTGACACCCCCCCCCCACAACTCAAACATGGAAGCAACAGCCAAAGAGACTTTCAAACCTACACACACATTGCAGTACACATGCATCCCATACACACAAGGTGTGGGGCAATCATACGAAAAGTCTTAACACCAGCTATAAGATAGAGATAGTAATATATGATTTCTTTTTTGTTCTTTATTTTGTTTTGTTTGAGACAGGGTCTCTCTACATAGCCCTGGCTGGCCTTGAACTCACAGAGATCCACCTGCTTCGGCCTCCTGAGGGCTGGAATTAAAGGTGTGAGCCAGCATGCCTGGCTAATAATACAAGATTTAAAAGTAAAACCTATAGTATGCTTTCCATAAGAAACTGACTTTACAAGCCAGGCGTGGTGGTGCATACCTTTAATCCCAGCATTTGGGAGGCAGAGGCAGGAGTATCTCTGTGAGTTCAAGGCCAGCCTGGTCTCCAAAGCGAGTTCCAGGAAAGGCGCAAAGCTACACAGAGAAACCCTGTCTCGAAAAACCAAAAAAAAAAAAAATACAGATTGGGTAAAAGATGTATCTATCACCAGGCACTGTCAATATGCTTCAGAGGTTAAGAGCACTTGCTGTTCTTCCAGAGGACCTGAGTTCAGTTGCCAGCACCCATATTGGACAGTCACAACCACCTGTAACTCCAGATCCAGGCATTCTGATGCCTTCTTCTGGCCTCCACAGATACCTGCATTCCCATACACATGCACACATACCCACAGGTATGACATACACACATGTAATTTTAAATGCACAAATAAATAAATAATCCAGCATGAAGGTGCATACCTATAATCTAGCACTTGGTAGGCTAAGGAAAGAGAATGAGTCTGAAGCCAGTCTGGGCAACAAAGGAAGAGCAGTTTCTAGTAAACCAACAACAGAGACCCAGGTCTTGCTCCTTTTGCCTTGTAAGGGCACCACTGTAAGGTACTGTGGACCAGAAAGCAGCCTTCATCCACTAAACTACCAACGTCCAGAAGCTATAGGGCCTGTGCATCTGAAGTATCCCCAGGAAGCTCATGTTCTCAGTCGAGGTTTTTGGGAGATACATAAATCCTGACGGCTCTGATTTCATAAACTGTTTCATTCATTGATGGATTCCCAACTTAAAAGGCTATTAGAAGTGGCAGAAACTTTGGGAGGTAGGGTCCAGTTGCAAGTGATGGTGGCATGCTCTGGAAGGATACGTTTTGTTCCTAATCCCATATTCTCTTTCTTTCCTCTCCCCACTCCCTCTCCTCCTTTTTCCTCCCCTTTTCTCCCCTTCCCTCTTTTCTCCTTTCCTCTCCTTCATGACTCTATGAAGCATCTCTGCTGTGCCACAGCCACAATGTTCTGCCTCACCACAGATCATCAGCGCCGAGTGACAAGGCAATGAAATTGAAACCATGCTCCAAATAAATCTTTCCCCTCTAAACTGTTTTCCCTAAGTATTTTGTCACAGCAACCAGAAGCTCACACAGTGAGCCAGTCTGTGATAGGTTGTTACAGCCCTCAAAAGACCCCAGTGAAATTAAAGAGACGGGAAAATATTTTAGCAGAGGCTTTATGGAAGAAGGCCCAGTGAGTACATGCAAATCAACGCCATGGTGAGAAACTGCCACACTTCTCTTGGAACATCTAGAGAGGGAAGAAAACGTGATGGTACCAGAGTGGCTGAGAACACGGAGCACCTAAAAGTCTTCTACTGCTAGTGGACATGCAAAATGGCACTGGAATTTTGGCATGAAATTTAGTAGTTTCTTATCAAGTTAGCTGTGTACTCTCAGGTGACAGAACTCCTCCTTAGAGGTGTTTACCCAAACGATACGGAAGCCTGTGATCACACAAAAGCCAAACACACAAATGTTTACACAGCTTCTATCGTCTTGCCCCAAACTGGAAAGAAGCCCAAAAGCCCTCAGCTGGGAAGAGCTAAATATATGAGGTCATTTTAATGTAGTCTTGTACTTTATCTGTGGGACAATCAGTTAAGTTTCATTTCTGAAGGCACTCTCAGCTGTTCAGACAGCTGGAATATGACCTCCACATCTGGAAGGACTATGTCCTGAGAACACTGACTACCCTAGAAAGGTCTGAAGGGAGATTTGATTTGTTGAAAAGACACTGACCACAGGGAGCCATCTCTCTGAGATTTAGTCTAATGCAATTCCAGAGACGATGACGGTCCATGAAGTGGTGGTTCATAGCAAGTCTATCTTGGCCCCTCGTCGCATTTGAAGCATCCCACAAGCCTTGGTATGAAATGAACAGAGAACGTGGCAATAGCCACAGCTATGAAAGTATTCAGGAAGAGAAGTGACAGCCACAAGCCGGGAATGCCGCAGCAAAGTCGGATGCACACGTTGGGGAGGCGATGAGTCAGATTCCTCTCCACTGCTCACTCCCCTGCTGACTGTGGAGCTCGTACTGGGTTCTAATGCTGACTCTGGAGTGGAACTCACTACTCCTCTTCAAAACTTGCTCCAGACAGATTTTCTCATAGTCTTATTGGGAAGGAAGGAAACTAAACGTTTTGTTCTTGTCCTCCTGATGTTTTTCATGTGTGTGCCTAGTCCTTGGAATACAAGGGACTCTAAGAGATGGAGAGGGTAGCTTGGATAACTTAAGCAGGACTTCACAAATGCTACCCAGGTCCTCTCATGCCCAAATCCTGTCAGTGGAATAAAGTAGCTACCAGCTGAGATGTCATAGGCCAGAAACGATGCCAACCAAAATTGACATCAGGCTGAGCATGGTGGCACATGCTCATAATCCCAGAACTCTGAAGGCTAAGGCAGAAGATCACTGGTTCAAGGCCAGCTTAGGCTAACAAACTGAGAACATCTCTGAAAGCCAAAAGAGAGAAGAAAGAAAAGATCACATCTTAGTGAACAAATCAAAATATTCTGAGTGCTTTAAGAGTGGGGCAGCGGAAGTTGACGGACGTTGTTAGAGATCAAGGGAGGGAACCGAAGCAATAGTACAGAGGGAGAAATCATACAGTGGAGGGAAATGAAGGTAGAGGTGATCATTTTCACTGTGTCCGTGTATGAAATTCTCTAGAATAAAATGTTGACAAAGAGACGAGTGGAAGGGGGAGAAAGAAGAGATTATGGGAAGGCGAATACGGTCAAAGCACTTGGAGGAAAACATCTACGAACCCCACTCTTAGTAAAATGAAGAGGCATCACTAGCTAGAGTGTCTGTGATGGCTAATTTTTTTAACTTTCTTTTTTTTTTTTTTTTTTTTGGTTTTTCGAGACAGGGTTTCTCTGTGTAGCTTTGCACCTTTCCTGGATCTCGCTCTGTAGACCAGGCTGGCCTCGAACTCACAAAGATCCGCCTGGCTCTGCCTCCCGAGTGCTGGGATTAAAGGCGTGCGCCACCACCGCCCGGCTTTAACTTTCTTTTTTATTTATTCTTCATTTCTTTCACATCATACATCTCCATCCCATTCATTTCCCTGTCCCTTCATATCTGCCATCTGCCCTTGTAACCTCCCCCCCCAAAAAAATAATAAAATAAAATTTAAGAGGGAAAAAAGAGAAAAAGAAAAATCAACCTCGTTGTAGAAGCTGTAGTATGGAAACCCTTTTATCCATGTAAATATATATATATTTACTTCCAAGTGTTCATTGCAAAGAGTCATTGGTCTGGTTTGAGGCCTCTGGTTTCTACTACACTATCGATGCTGGGCCCTCACAGGAACTCCTGTTGGTCATCCTGTTACTGCTCTGTGTCGTGGAGATTCTGCAGCTTTGGATCTGCAGGATCCATCCCTTCACGTGCTCCAGCAGATCAAAATGGAGTGGGTGTTGGGGTGGCTCAACTCAAACCCCTGGCTCTGGGCCTGGGTAGTTGCAGGGTTGGTCAGCCCACCAGCTCTCCCTTGTCCTCACCACCAGGGGGAGCTCTCCTGCTTTGTCCTGGCAAGTTCACCCTTTGCAGGGAAGAGCAAGGGGCAGGGCCAGTTCTCCTGCTTTCCTTTCTCAGGGTCTTATCTCCCACACCTACACATTCAAGGCCAGCTCTACTGTGTTGCCCAGGTGAGGTGTAGGGGCCACTCTCCCAAGTGCTGTATTTCTCCCCTGCCCATGCCACCACATGACAGATGAGTAATGGGGACAGTTCTCCCATGCTTACAACTTCGGGGCTGGCTAACCCACACCTCCTCCAATGAGGTGGCTCTATTGTGCTGTCCAGACGAGGTGCAGGGCCTGCTTTCCCAGTATTGCAGCTGGTGGAGAACAGGGGCAGCTCTCCCGCTCTTATGACCTCAGGGCTGTACTGTCTACTTTTATGTCAACTTGACACACTGGAAAGGAGGGAACTCAGTTGAGAAAATGCCTCCACAAGACCTGGCTGTAAGACATTTTGTTGATTAGTGATTTATGTGGGAGGGCCCAATCCATTGTGGGTAGTGCCATTCCTGAGCTGATGGCCTTGCATTCTATAAGAAAGCAGGCTGAACAAGCCATGAGTAGCAAACCCATAAACAGCACCCCCCCACGGCCTCTGCATCAGCTTCTGCCTCCAGGTTCCTGACCTGTTAGATTTCCTGTCCTGACTTCCTCCAATGATGGACTATGATGTGGAAGGGTAAGTCAAATAAACCCTTTCCTCCCCAACTTGCTTTTGGTTATGGTGTTTCTTTGCAGCAACAGAAACTCTAACCATGACAGTATCTTTTAGTAAAATGGTTTGTTTTTCATGTTTTTGTCAATGTATACTATTAGATTTTATATTTTCACATCAGTTTCTTGCATAACTTTTTTCTTCATGCTCTTGCGTATCTCCAAAGCCTCTGGTTGTATTAGCACAATTTACTATAGATCATTGTATTCATGTTGAAATGTTTCTCTGTTATTTTGACATAAATGATATGTCTTCAGAAATAGATATTCAGCATGAGAAATAAAAATAAGAGCCTTAGCAGATGTGTCAGCGTTGCCAAACTTACCTAACCCCGCGTGATGCCATACGACCAGGAGGTGTGGAGGAAAGGTTCCAAGATGAGGCGCCATTTTGCTTTGTTCAGGCCTTACTCTTGGTGGCATGCCTGTCCTGATCCTAAAGCCTGAGGGAGGCTTCCATGTGTCTGATTTTTGTCTTTTAGGAGTTTGGGGTGGTGATCAGATCATTTTTAAAGATATATCACAGGGCAACTGTGTTGAATAAAAAGAGAGATTTGGGTATGCCTGACCCTATCTCAGAAAGATGATACAAAGATCCCATCACTGCTGGAAACACAAGGTGGGAGCCCCTGGGGACAGGGCAAGTTGGGGGATGGAAATTCTACCCCCATTATCCACCACGTCAACATTTTCCTGACAATAATGCATGAGTTCAAAATTTTATTTTAAACTCGGGAATTTTAAATTTTAAAAACAGGAATCTTTTCTGCCAACGTCTAGAGCTTTTAAAGGATTTTTATCAGCAACAAAAGAATTCGGCTTTGCAGAAGCAGGCTGCATCTCTGAATATTAAAATCTCCATCTTGGGAAACTTTCAAGCCTTCAGACAACCTCTTTCAAAGTCATAAATGAAAGTCACTCAACACACGACAATGCTCTGGGGCCCCTTTTATCTACAGAAGAAAGACCACAGAGCGATAGCTTAGGAGCCACAGACCGAATGGCTGACCTTGAGTCACCTTCTGTACCAGGACTGGCCCGGCCAAGATAGGAAGTTGAAGTTGTCACTAGTAGCAACAGCAATTATGATCTGATGATAAAAAGAAGCCAGTCAAGGGTAATAAAAAAAAAAAAAGCTAAATCGTATTACTCATACGGCTCTTAGAGCTTAAAAGGCACTTGCATTTGCTGTCTGCTTGGTCCTTTCACATTAGAAACAACCTTTCCCCTTTCCCTTCTGTCCAGAGAACCAGCAACTCCAGAACCAAAGAACAGGTCCAATGGAGCCAGGATGTCTGAATGGGCTTGGCTTTTACCTGTGTGTGAAACTGAATGGGTTTTATTTTTAGAGATGCTTAGAGGAAACTTTACATCATCCCTCAAGCTCTGATCTTCCTCCTCCTCCTCTCTGTCTGTCTCTGTCTCTCTCTGTATTTTTTCTCTGTTCCTGTGTCTCTGTCTCTGTCTCTCTGTCTCTCTCTGTCTCTCTCTCTGTCTCTCTGTCTCTGTCTCTCTCTCTCTCTGTCTCTGTCTCTCTCTCTCTCTCTCTCTCTCTCTCTCTCTCTCTCTCTCTCTCTCTGTCTTATACTCTCCTTCCCTTCCTACCTCCACAAGTGCTATGTATGTGCACACACAGAGGTCAGGGTCAACATCAAGTGTCTTCTATCTCTCTCCAATTTGTTTCTTTTAAGATTTATTATTTTTGTTTATGTGAGAGTGCCCATGGGAGCCAGAAGAGAGCATCAGATCCCATGAAGCTGGAGTTACAGTCACCCAACATGATTGCTGGGTCTGAACCTGGGTCCACTAGAAGAGCAGCAATCGCATGCTCTTAACCACTGAACCGTTGTCTGTCTAGCCTTCCACTTCAGTTCTCAAGATAGGACGTCTCGGGCTGGAGAGATGGCTCAGCGGTTAAGAGCACTGGTTGTTCTTCCAGAGGTCCTGAGTTCAATTCCCAGCAACCACATGGTGGCTCACAACCATCTCTAATGAGATCTGGCGCCCTCTTCTGGCTTGCAGGCATACATGCAGACAGAACACTGTATACATAATAAACAAATCAAAAAAAAAAAAAAGATAGGATGTCTCACTGAAGCGGGAGCTGGCTGTTGCAGCTAGACTAGCTGGCCAATAAGTCTGCAGTTCACCCGTTTGGACAGAGATTACAGATGTGGACATCACGCCTGATGTCTTCCCTGGATTTTGGGACTCAGAATGTAGCACTATACTCACTCAGCCTCTGCTGTCTCTTTCTGGGACAGTCATTCTGGCAGGCTGACACCCATTCCCACATGTCTTCAGGGCTGATTGCTGGGCTCCTCCACCCAACTGCACTCCCCATGCAAACCAACTACACATGTGTCTGAACTGCCACCAAATCCAAGTGCCAAGGTTGTAAATGGCAAAACTACCATTGCCAAATTTGCACCACGGTGGTTTGAGATGTGTGTCTTTGGATCCACGGGCTTCGTGATCCAGTCTACCAGCCTTGTTTCTGGGTTTGTTTTGGAAGTGAGTGCTTTATTGCAGACTCTCTAAAAGAGAAGAGTAAAATCTGAATGCAGTGAAGACTCGGGGGACTAGAAGTTACCACACAAAGTACCAGTGACTTGGGAAGTACAGAGAGATGACTCCAGGGAGCCTCACAGGGACCTGGACAAGAGCCCATCAGCATGTGTGAGGCAGGAAGGTACCTGGCCTAGCTAAAGAACCACCAGACAGGGTTAAAGAGGTTCAGCCTGGTCTGGGAATAAAGCCTAATCCCTACCATGCAGACCAGAAGACCACAGGACTCACAGGCCATTGAGTAGAGTAAACAGCATGGCCTTGCCTCACAAACTGAAAATAATTATCCCAAGCTGAGCTCTGATCCAAAGCCACTTAATAATTCTTAGAAAGAAATACCCAAAAGGACTATACTAATTACAAATAACTTACATGTATTCCCAAACAAATATTTATCTAAATATTTCTAGAGACACAAAAAACCGAAATAACAGCTGTATCCAGAATGCAATGCAATGCTCTAAATGATTGCGTCTCTCCACACTCAGACCACAACTCCATCACCACTTGCTAATAAGAGATGGGACACTTAGGAAGCTGACTGGGGAACCCTTGGAAGGACCTGTGACGTCACTCAGATTTGAGGGAGCCCCTTCGCCTTTCCCCATGTGAAGACTAGGCAAGGAGATGCTTTCTTTGAGCAGGGAGCCCTCACCGGACAATCTGCTGGCGCCTTCACCTTGAACTTCTCGGCATCCAGAACCACGAGGAACAAAATTCTGTTGCTTATAAACTATTCAGTCTAAGGAACTTTATTATAGCAGTCCAGACAGAGGTACTCAATAAGGTAAATTTCATGTCTGGCATCAGATTAGAAATTAGTAGAAGCACACAGAAAAGACTATTTTAAAAGTAAGACCAGAAGGTCAGGGAGGTGGCACCGTGGGTCAGGGCACTTCCTGTTCAAATCTGAGTTTGATCCCCAGAACCCACTCAAAGGTAGAAGG